CAAGGTATTATCACTTATCGATCAGAAACTAACATTTGGCGATTGAGGAGTGATGCGTGATGCGCTTCCAACAGGTTAGTCTTCAAATTTCAATGCCGCGATGCCACCGGTAATCTGAGGTACCTTTATGGAAAAGTTGAACCTTGCTAAAAAATTTCTAACAGATCAGAACTCTTCTGGCGGAATTATGTTGCTAGTGCGTTATTCTTAAGAGTATTAAGAATATTGTGGTGGGTTCACCATGATTGCAGATTTTGACGCCATTGTATATGTACAAGAATGAACTTTTAACAGGACTGGTATATGTACAATTGCTAATGGAATGTTATTTCGGTGATTTGAAAAGGAATGTTTATTTTTATGAATTAAATGGGCTGATAAGCAAAGTTGGTAAGAAGGAAGGCTTGCAATGGTTTCTTTGGAGGTGTATTGGACAAATTTCTGACGGCCCTTTTTTGAAGAAAAAATTGTTGCGTAATACGAGCGCATTCCAGGTGGAGTATCGCCAGGTTAAGGAGATAATGTTTTTAAAATTGAAGGCCTTTCTAAAACACCTGGTACCTACTGCAAGTCTTCAATTTGACATGAATGGGAAAAAACTAAGGGACGGTTTTACTGTCCGTCGGTTTTCTTATGAAGAGCGAGAGGATGAATCATATGGCAAAAACAGGTGTAACGTCAAGTTACCGTTTGCGTTCTAACGTAGGGAGCCACCAGCTTACAGTACAGCTCACATTCCTTTGGAGTATCAAATTAAAATTGACTGTACTAATAAAATCACAGATGGTATTTACGATTTGATTCTATTAGAAATGCTTCCATTTAGTGGATATTATTTCCACCATTTTATTGAAGCCGCACACAATCAGCAACTGAGCTAACTTGTTTCTTCCATCTAACAGTTTTATGTAATTTTGTCACTCTTTCATCCTTTGAATTAAAGCAATGAAATTCGCAAAAATAATAAAATTTACACTATTCGCGGAACTTTGTCCATAAAAATAATAAAAACGTTTACCGACAGATGCATATTTTAAGCAAATAAAAGACATTACGTCCCAGCCCAACGGGCAGACTTCTAAGTACAGTTACTCGAAAAAAACATGACTTAAATCAAATTACGACGGCTCGTACTTTTGGTCAAATTTGTATTCAGCCGTGATAAAAACGGTTGATATTGTCTGATGGTGTTGTCTGCTTTGCAAATTAGTCGGTTCCAGGATACCACTGACATGGGACATAAAAAGCTGACATAATCAGACATAAAATATTGGAAAATCAGTGATTATATTGAATACAACAATGGTCAATTATAGGTTTAACTATTTTTGTAAGAGTAGCTGCTTGTATCTGCTGGATATGTCAAGAATCTAAAGTGTTGAAGCCATTAATGTCAACTTGCTGTTGATGTATGCAGTCTCAAACTGATTTTTTAATGTGTTTTGGGTTTATTGATCTTTGATTTTTTTTTTTTCTCGCGGTAAAAGATTTTTGTTGGTAAATTTCTGAATTAAAAAATAATACACTCTTATTATATAATAAAGGATTCTCTATATACCAGGAATATTTTGAATGCAAGGCGGCAAGGAGTTTGGATTTTTTTTACACTTTTGTTTGTTAAGGGACGAAATAGGTAGGTACTACTACGTTTCTATTTTAGAAAGAACAAATTTTACTTTAATACCCGTCCATTGCAATCTTGTAGGTCTGCAACCAGAAACTTGAAAGTCTCTGTTCACTCTATGTTCGTTCAATTTATTGAAACATTATACCTATAGAGATATTAAGCTGTTTTTTGTCTGCAAAGAACACCAATGAGGTTTCGGCGATATTCAGAATTAGATGGTTGTCAGTAGGTGCTGGTACTCCATTTAAACATGTTTGTTGAAATTGGGTAGATACCTAAATTTAGTTTTGAAATTACAGGAGGTAGGTACCTATCGTTACCAAACTGGTAAAATGATGCTATGTTCATTTTTGAATTCAAATCCTTATCGAACAATATTGGACAGAGTTCTGTGAAAAGACCTCTAGAATTGATAACAGACGTGTCATCTATCTACCTTAGTAGGTGCATAATAGAATCTTTGGCTGTTCAAAGTTATTTGAAACTTTACTTTTGATTATCAAGTTTAACAGGGCTGCCCTGCTTAAACCAGAAAGCTCTCCTGTTTACTCTCTATTAAATAATGAATCTTCTAAACATGTTCAAAGATAAGAATTCCACATTTTCAACTTCTAACTCCATGCAAAATTAACAAAATTAAACAGCTCTCGGAAGCCTTAGGTATTGTTGAAGAAAACATAAGAAACTGTGTGAAATTTAGGAATGCATAAATCATATAGCGTTTGACAGGGTACGAGAAGCTTATGAAAATTCTCATGGATGTAGGGATAGATGATAGAGATCTCAATATAATCGCAAATCTCTACTGGAATCAGACTGCGCAAATCAAGGTAGACAACAAATGTCTGACGCAGTACGGATAAAAAGAGGTGTCCGCGGCAGGGTTGTATCCATTACCCATGACTTTTTATTATTCATTCGAACAAAATATTTGAAAAAGCATTAAAAAGACTGCACTGAGGGAATTTCTATCAACGGCGTGGACATTAACAATCTTCGGTATGCGGACGATACGGATTTAATCGCTGATTCTCTGGAAGGTCTTCAAATATTACTTGATCATGTGGCTATTGAAAGCATTTGGATTACAATTTGAATGCTAAACAAACTAAATGGATGGTGATTAGTGAAAATCAGGTTGGAGGAGGTATTCTTCAGATACACAACCAACAAATCGATCGGATCCAATCATACAGATCCCTAGGATGTCCGGATAATGAAGACTAGGATAACATGCAGGAGGTTCGTACCAAGATTGAACAAGCCAGAGCATCATTTGTAAAAATGAAGTCTTCAGTATCCTCTATCATGGGATTGAGGCGTGGACTCTGACAGACGCCATGTGTAAAAAGCTAGAGGGTTTCGAAATGTGGACATAGACGAATTTTAAAAATATCTTGGATGGACAGAGTATGCGCAATGAAGATGTGCTAACGAGAATGTCAAAAGATCTTCTCGATCTTGAAGTTTATGTTTACGCTTAAAAAGCGAAAGTTAGAGTACCTACTTCGGACACAGACTCAGGAATGAGAAATACCTACTTCTCAAGCACATAATCGAGGGAAAAATCAAAGGCAGGAGAGGCCCTGGACGTCGAAAAATATCTTGGCTAAAGAATTTGCGTCACTGGTATGGCGAAACCACAGCAATTTTATCCAGAAAAGCAGTCCGACAAAGTACAGATAGCGCTGACGATTGCCAACGTTCGTAGAGGACAAGGCACTTGTAGAAAAAGAAGATAAATCATATTCATTATGTCGGGTGCCAAAGAAATCTTCTTAAACGCAATCAATCATCAAGTGTCACCTACCAATATACCCAATAAAAAGGAAATAAATCTTCTAACCAAGGCAACCAGTCACCAGTTGTGTAATATTAATATTAAAACATTTAATTTGTTAGTTATTCCAATCATGTATAGTATTATATTTCTTTTTTTTATACCCCAGACAATTATTCTATAGTTTTTCAATAATATTCTATAGGCAGTAGCCAAATTTGTAGTTAATTTTAATAAATAATTTATATGCTAATTGCCAAAAATTTTATGATCGCTTGCAAATTTTCGTTAATTAACTATCAGTTTTGGACTTAGAATATTAACTACTATAGCGATTTTAATTATTCAAAAATCAATATGCAGTTTTTCAAACATACCTACACAATCTTTAGACATGATAGACTTTGGGTTAGTTCATCTTGATAATATACTCTAAACAATTAACAAAATTTAGAGCGAGACTTCACATAGAGGAAGCGTTCTTTGCTTGATTGTCTGGCAAGAATATTTGATTCTCAGATAACATCCATGGATAATAATGATGAATTATTCAAAAATTGAGTCACTACCCATACGATTCAATTTTTGTCCGTTAAATGAGTAGCAGGAATTTCCAAATATTTATTATGTCAAACATGAAGAACACCCTGTATGGTACGCGGTTTCAATCACGTGTTAAAAGGTATTCCAAGTAAATGACCATTAATAGAGCTATATGTCTCTGAGGTGACGTCAAATCTTTTGTTTTATTGTTGGAGAGTTGATTAGCATGCAAAGATTCCTATCTTTACTGTATAGTTAATGCCCTGCTCGGTTGTTAACACTTGTTGGATTAAAATTGGCTCAAAAGAGTGCAATTTGATATTCCACAAGATACATTATTTTGTTTCTGACATGACTTACTGATTGATATTTCATTCAATAGGCCACACATAGACAAGGTAATTCTTCTTCTTGTCACCTGTAGCAATAACAATAATTAAAATTGTCAGGTTTTAACACAAAAATTATTTGTTTGTTGGGGAAATTTACAGAGACAACCTTGCCTACATAAATTTTGCCTTGGGAAGTTTAATCGTTACTCATTAAGGCCTCTGTGAGGAATTTTAAATACCTAAAAGATGATTTTTTGTTATTCTTTGAATTCTCTCAGAGAATGCTGGGATTTGAAAAACACATCAGAAAAAAACAAATCAGAGATTCAAAGATTTTCTTTTCTACTTCTACTAATAATACACTATTATAAACATTGTGAATGAAATTAAGAAATGTTTTAGGTATCTGGATGGACATATGGACTAACTGAGATTTTTGATAAAACTACGCCTTGCTCTTGTCTCAAAATACAATTTGCTTCTATTGAAGTGTAAGAAAAAAATGACTAATCAAGGAAGAACATTCTTTATGGCCACACTAGCAAAAAAAATTTAAATTTCAAAATGACCATAATACGAATACATAAATCTACACGTACGCGGAATTCGTAATTCCTACCAGGTGGATGGTTGTATGGACATGGTATGAATAGATACAACATTGGTCGGGTTGGGTGGGGAAAAGCGCGATTGCGAAATATATATTTGCCCACCGACGGCCCTAAGAACTCAAAAATAGCCTTATCGTCTAAGCGAACAGTAGTGGATTTTTTTTATACACATCAAAAATGAAAGTTCTTTGTTTTATTGTGGCCGTTTTAGGGTTAACTAGTGCCTTCCCAAAATCAAGTAAGTACCATACATCGCATTTTTTTTATTTTGAAAAATCTCAAAAAATATTTTCAGGATACTATCCAAGATCCTATATGGTTGGTGGTAGTTTCTATGCTAACCCAAGGTATGCCAGAGAAGGTACTGGCTACGAATACCTTCCCCCAGGTCAAATGACAGCTATGGTAATGGGAGATACTGTAGCCACTAACTCATTTTCTGGTTCACCCTATAGTCCTCCTCCAGCGCATGTTCCTGACATTATCCAAGAAGATCAAACTTCTGACCAAATCACTGAAAAGCAACAACCTTTTGTGGTATCCGAACCCGAGTCAGTTAACGAAACCGAACCTGAAGAAGTAAAAGCGGATAAACAAGAAACGTTGTTTTCTATCGAAGATGCTACTACTGAAGTGGTTACTGTGCCTACAACCAAGGCACCAGCTAAAGCAATCAAAAAAACTAAAATTGGAAAAGCTCAAAAGCCTGTAGTAGTGGTTCAACCAGAAGAAGAAGAGGAAGCAGAAGAAGATGATGTTGCTCCTTCTTGGCCATTTGGCGGTGCTGCTGGAAGAGCTGGTGTTCCAGCGTACAATGCCTTTTTCCCAATTTTCATTGGCGGTGGTACCTCAGGACGTTCTCGTACCCGCTCCACTCAAGAAGAAGGTCTCCCAGGATCAGCCACAGCTATTGCCAATTCGTTTTCAACAGGAAAAGGTGGTGTAGCCACATCTCACGCCACCTCTTTCGGTGATCCCTACGCTGCTGCTATGTTCAGAGACGCTGGACTTTTCAATTTTAGGAAAACGAATAAGAAGCAAATTGTTCAATTCGACGATGATGAAGAATAGGTTTATTTATTTGTCATTTATTAGGTTTACGCTAGTCAATTTTTGAATTGAATCAAAAAGTGCTTTTTAAAGTTGTTTCGATACTAGGTATTGTACAAAATTATTGTGAAAGTCGATACAGTTAATATACAAGTGATAAAATTAAACTTTGTTTTTTTTTTTAATTTTTTTAGTTGAAATAAAATTTGAAAGGGGTTTATAGACTTATTGATTTTTCAATTGAACTTATCTTTTTTTTTTTTTTTATACGCCTACCAATAATAAGCATGTAACAAGTTGAACGGTAGGTATTTGTTTTTGGAGTGTGCTCGACCAAAAGAATCTTTCAAAAAGAGACCTGGAGGCTCGGTCTCTTTTTAAAAGATTGTTTTGGTCTCGTAGAAAAGAGCTGTAAACTTTTTATAAGACGTTATCAACTCTTCCCTCAATTTTTATTCCGAAATCTCTGTTTGTTTAATACCTAGGTACCTACACAAAAAATGTAAAAAATAGGAATTGATACCCAATAATTATATTGCCTAACAAACATGTAACGTAAACCTGCTTATAAATATTTCTTCCTAATGAAAAATTCTATTATTTTGGATACCTGATCGCTAGTTCTTAGAAGTGGTCGCGAGAGCTTCTTATGGTTTCCTTTTTTGTCCTGCTCTCGTTGTTTGACTTCAACTGACTTCTTATACTTCTTCTTCTCCTGATGCTTATCCATTAATGGATGTTTTCGATGACATTTTCCATTGCTTCTCTGTTTCTTGAGGTATGTATGTATCAACGACTGTATATCGTGCAGACCTTTCCACTGTCTGATGTTTCACAGTCAAGACATTTTCCGTTCTTGTCGATACGCCTTAGGACTTTAGGATCTCTTTATTTGTCAGTCTCGCCACCAAAGGTATCTAAAGGATCCTCAAATATACAACCATATCTGGAAAGACTCCAATTTGGTAATTGTACTGCACTCGCCTTCAGTGGTTCAACCGTCCATACCGTAAAGAAACACCAGCCAAACGTAGCACTTCACGAAGATCAAAATCTGAGCAGGTAGGTAAGTACTTTTCCATATTTTAAGAATGCCTGTCTAGCTTGTTCAATGCGCCATTTTATTTCCTTGTCTGATGTCCCCAGTCTTTAAAAAGCCATCAGGTGCCCAAGTATTTGAATGTATCCACTCTTTCTATGGGCATTGCGTTGGTATGGTTTTTCCAAACATGTTTAGCTTTCTGGAGATAATCATCAATTTTGTTTTTTTGAGGTTGAGATTCAAACCCATATTGATTTGCTCTGATCCCCCACCGTATTGGCCAGTTGTTGTAGGTCATGTATATTATCAGCGATTAAGACCGGGCATCATCAGCATATCGAATATTCTTGATTCACACTCCATTAACTTTGACTCCCATTTCTACGTCTTCCAAAGCCTCTCGAAAAATTGCTTCCGAATATAAATGGAATACGAGTGAAGACAGTACGCAGCCCTGTCGCAGTCTCACTCTCCTTCTAAATTGTATGGTATTGGATAGATTATTTTCCAGTTTTATTTGTGGCATTGGGTGCCAATATAAGTTCTCAATGCATCCGACGTCTTTCTGGTCTATATATCAAGTATTTTGAGGAGTTTCATTAATTTATGGTGTTGCACGCGATTGTATACCTTTTCGTAATCTATGAAGCATAGGTACACATCCGTTCTCTGATCGTAGCAATTCTGAACAAGCACCTGCGTTGCGACTATATCGCGTCTCTTGTAGGTACCTAACCCCTGTCTGAACCCAAATTGTGAGTCGTGAGTCACTTATGTAGAGCACAACGTAAACTTTGGCACAACCATTTTTCAGTGTAGTGGCCTGTCTTATATTATATACCTACGTATAATCTTGAATAGATACTTTATGGCTATGTTCCGATATCAACTGCCAGTACTGGATTTACTGTGGTGATTTTACTGTAATTTGCCGTTCCGATTTCAACAGCGTATTCTTATGGTCATTCAGTACTGAATCGACTGAATCCAGTGTACTGAAAATAATATCGGAACGGCGTCCAGTAAATTCAGTACCTACTGACAGTTGATATCGGAACTTAGGGTATGTAATGCTCTGATTCCTCTCTCATCAAGGAGTTAAAGTATTTCCGAAGGAATTTCATCTGGGCCAACCGCTTTGTTATTTTCTAAATCACCTATAGCTTTTTCAATCACGCCTTTTTTCATGGTACAGTTCCAGTTAGAGAGTTATTGCGGCTTCAGTTGGAGGTTTGTCATCGTCAAGAAGTTCTTGTTAGTCCCCAGTACATCGACCCTAAAATTTTGTAACTCATGTACACGCCAAACTTCCTGAGCGGCTTCATAGCACCAAGTCGGACAATTTTGTTCATATCTCCAACCCGGGCGATGGGACATTGTCGCGCTAGCTCTTCGGGAAGTTGTCATTCTGACGTCCCTGAGAACAGTGATACAAGTATATGTAATTTTAATTCTAATCGACTGTTTCTATGTTATATTAACGATATCAGATTTGTCGGCCAAAAATCTCGTGGCATTGGGGGGGTCGGACACCCCCAACAGCAACATGTTAAGGTCGTCGGACCCCTCCAATGCCACGAGATTTTTGTCCGACAAATGTGGTACCTATCGGTAATATAACATAAAAAACAGTCGAATGGAATTAAAATTACATGTACATGTATCACCATTCTCAGGTGCGTCAGAATGACAACTTCACGAAGAGCTAGCACGATAATGTCCCATCGCCCAGGTTGAAGATATGAACAAAAATGTCCGACTTAGTGTTATGAAGCCGCTCAGGAAGTTTGGCGTGTACATGAGTTACAAAATTTTAGGGTCGATGTACTGGGGACTATGTATATTGGTACTTTTCTCAAACATGGATCTTCTCCTTGCTACTTTGAATATTTTTGTATACGCAGCCGTTTGTTTTGTTTATGTGCTTTCGACGTTCATCCAAATAACCACAAGATCTCGTGCTTTATGCGTTCTGGATTGTTATTTCTTATCCTAAGTAGTTTAAATTAGAATTACATTAGTTTTATAAGGTATTATAGGTATAGTTTTCCAAAATCTAAATCATAAGGTAGGTACCTTCTTACTATATGGAGATTTTGTGTCCTATTGGTCATATAGCATCCCTCAAACTTCATACACTAAATTATTCTCAGATTTGAAGCCGAAATCTATGAAAAAAGGCACTCAGAAAAATTAAAAAATTGATAAATCACCCCAAATTGCTTAACACGATTTTATCTCAGGAACTATAGGTAAGTGCAAATGAGCTGAAATTTTCAAAGATTGTAGTCCCTTGATTGGAATAAAATTCAGTGAAAGTTTCAGCTTTCTATACATAATAGAAAAAAAGTTATGACCTTTCAAAGTTTTCCAAAATCTAAATCATAAGGTAGGTACCTTCTTACTAAAACGATGAAATTTCAATTTTTTTTTTGTTGAGATTTTGTATTCTAATGGTCAATTAACATTCTCCAAACTCCATACACTAAATTATTCTCAGATTTGAAGCCGAAATCTATGAAAAAAGGCACTCAGAAAAATTGAAAAATTGATAAATCACCCCAAATTGCTTAACACGATTTTATCTCAGGAACTATAAGTGCAAATGAGCTGAAATTTTCAGGGATTGTAGTCCCTTGATTGAGATAAATTTCAATGAAAATCTCAGCTTTCTATCTATAATAGAAAAAAAGTTATGCCCTTCCAAAATTTTCGAAAATCCAAATCATAAGGTAGCTATGTAGGTACAGTTACATATTTGACAATTTGTACATACATAAATATACCTATATAATAATAAATACATAAATTTACATAGGCATATAAAATTTTGACAATACCTACTTCTCACACCATATTCACACGTAATATTGGAACATTTTTGATTTCTGCTTGCTGTTTCGCTTGAGGTTCCTCTGAACGTTGAGGTATTTAAAAATAAACTCCAGTTTCCGAACACTGCTCAACTTAAACCTGCTCTCCTAAATAGTTCCAATATCTAGTTTTCCTTTCCGAGTACTTATTATTTTTTTGGCGAAGGTAGACCTGTTCCTGAATTTGGGCAGTAAATCTGACATGAATTTGATCGCTACTCAATTCATTTTCTTATCCAATCCAGTCTTTAAGTTCCGTATTCTTTACGGAGTCATCTGTTTTCAGTGACTATGGCTTTTACTTTCCTGGGAAGTTCGTCATCTAGTCATCTGGTCGTCTTCTTGTTGATCTGATGACAGCGAGGACGACAGAGTTGTGGTGCGGTTCCAAGATGATAGCCTGCAATTACTCCACCGCTTGCTTCAGTTGTCCAATGTTCTGAATCATTGTGATGACTATCGTGTTCATAAGTCTACTTTCCAGTGTTCTCTTCTCGTAATCTTGTTCCGATTGTGAGTTGTACTACTGGATTATGCTCCGAAGAACCACCAATAATAATTATTTCTACTTGGAAGTTTTCTGGTCTGCAGGATGCCCAATAACAGTTATGCCCGAGTTTGTTGGTCGACTACGTCCAGAGAGTACCTATAGCTACGTTGGTCGTTGGTCTTGATTCCGTGTATACGGAATTTGCATAAGCGGAAATGCACAGTTTTGAATGAAGATGTCGAATCATTCAAAACGAGCAGATAATTAAGCTTTAAAAACGTGTGTAGTGTAGTAATAGTAGGTAGTTCAACCAGTAGAAGTTCGTAAGTTGAGAAATTAAACTTTTGTCTATTTTTTTGGTAATAAGTATTGAATGGGAGGGCTAATCCAATTTTATTCAACAATCGTCCTATCATATCTGCTCTGCCACCTTGTCAGGAATAGTGTTATGATTCTTCTACCTACAAGCGCTACAAATAAACTGATGAATAGCCCGTTATAAGAAAACTTTTTCAAAGAAACCACCATTTGCAGTTGAGTATAGCTGACAGACAATCGAGAGACCATTTTCAATGAACCCTATACAAAGGACTGCATGAAACGAACTCGTTTTCCTTTTAAGCTAAAAATCATTGATAAAGACGCAGTGATGAGAACCGTCTTCAAGATAATTATGCAATATGCTTAAGCAGCTCAAAAAAATAAATAAATACTTTTTTTTCAAACTAAAATTTTAAAGAAATAGGAAGATAGGTACCTAATGTGATTTTGTGAAAAATGGGAGGATGATATCTGAGGACAAATTTCAACAACTTTTAATTGATTATCAAATCAAAAAATATAATACAATATATACAAATGAAAACACCATCAAAGCCCTTCGGAAGAGCTTGCAGTGACAGGATTCTGATTTGCGCTAGTAATTTGTGCAAAAGCTCCATACGTTAAGCCCACAATTGAACCTAATATTTCTGCGAAAAACACTCCAATGGTGCTCAGTCTATTCGGTTCTTTGATTTTGTCACTTTCATGCTTAAAATCATTCTCCAACTTATCATTAATTTCTATTTGAATTTTTTCTGGTTGATCTTCATCATTGAGAGGCACTCCATATGCTGCTGAAGGTATTTGTTGGATATTTGCTTTTGATTCTGTTTGATTTTCTTCTGTAGTGTTCTCTTGTGACGTCAATGTTATGTTTGACTCATGCTCATGTTCCTCTGGCTTGTAGTGATAAGCGTTTTTGATTTGGGCTATCAGTCGAAGCTTGGCAAGGACTTTTCCAATCTAAAAATGAATTTTAAATAGCTACAACTACAATACAAAATTTTATTTAAGTAGGTACCTTCTTCTGTAACAAACTTGGTGAAGCTTCGTTATTATTTGCTTCCTCATTACTCTTATTTACTTCTTCCGATAACGGTTCCAAGCCAACTAAACTTTTTTCTTCTTGGAGTTGAGCTGCCTTAGAGTCTTTTCTTCTAAGGTCCGCTATGTACGAGGCAGTCGTAGAGGGTGATGAAGCTGACGCTGAAGCTGATCCTGCTAATCCAAAGAGGGCACGTGGCCCTTGTATTACCCAAGTTGTTGATGAAACTGTAGAGATTACCTAGAGGAAAAAATCATATAATAAAATAACTACTATACTTATTTGTTATACTCCATATTTCCTATGAAAATTTTCGCTAAACAACGGCTAAACAAAGAAAATCTTTGTAGCCAGTTTATTATGAAGTTGGAACCGCTACGGCTCGTAGTTTTCTAAAAGAACTTTCAGATATGTAATAATATATAAAAATGTATGAAAAAAAGTTTGAAAAACTAATATTTTTGACCCAAACTCTAAAAACATCGTAGGTACTTTCTGACCACTTTGAACTCTAAAAAATCCAATGATTCAAGTTGACTAAATGTTCACACGTTTTAAACGTGATCTATTTCGTCTCAAAACTCATGACTCATACTCATAACTGGAAGGATATAAAATTTGAATGATTCAATCTTTTGTGGAATCAACTAAATGAAGTTAACCGTTTAAAATTGAAGCATATGCTTCTCACAGCTATGTTCCTTCGATTTTAGCTGTTTCACAAGTTGATCAACTGAAATCGAATCGTGAGAATGCGCCTTAAGCTTTTCAATTTTTGAGCTTCTTCGAAAATTTACCTCCTATTTCGTCTTTTCCGAAAACAAGCATTCCCATCGAATCCGTTTACATTTTTCGTCTATAGAGCATCGAATTCGGATCCGTACGGATTTGATGAGGGCATAAGTTGCAAGTTGGAATGCCAAAATATTCTACGATTTTTTGGGGCTTTATGATAACTTCTACGAACAACTTGTAAATGAGATTTCCACTAGTCTCCACCGTTTACAATTATGATGACATGGTAATGTCCGAATTGAAAAAAAAAAGTTTTTAAAAACATGTGTGCCTATATTCTATTGGTCCGCAGACATTATAATTCCATTTTTTGTCTAATAAAGATAACAATTAACTTACATAAAGCAAAATAAATCCAAATTTCAAATTATTCTCCATTTTTTCACTGCTTAAATTCTGATCACTGAAAAGCACTTAGTTGGCAAGACACTCGAAATTCAAATAATTGGTTATTGGAAAAAAAACTCATGCATAATAAACAATAAAATATTCTTAGCCATAGTTTAAATACACTCCCTACTTTGGAACAGAGTCATGGTTGATACTATTGCAAAATATCATGTGTGACATTGTTTAAAAAATAATGCGATTAAGAATTGGAAATTCTGATTCAAATATTCAGTGTCTAAAAAATAAAGGATCTTGCCGTTAATATACAGGGTGTTTGGTACATCGAAGCTGTTTTACCATATTTGCCCTAATGAAAAGCTTCGCCGTTTTTTAAGATAGGTATCGCTATTTTTAGATATTTTAAATCCATGTAGTTTAACACGTAACTTGGGCTACATATTTTTTGTATCAATCATTTGGGTTTCCTTTCGGTATTTTTCCGAAGAGTGCATATTAGGAATATCGGAAAAAAAAAATTAAGAAAGGCCAGAGTGTTTACTACCATAAAAAAAACAATATGTTTTAGGAAAAATTCAAAAATATCTAAAAATGCTGATATCTCAAAAACGACGGAATTTTGCATAAGGGTAAATGTGGTGAAACAGCTCCCAAATGACCCCAACTATCACTCATTGAAAACTTCCTGTCGACTGTCGATGTACCAAACACCCTGTATATCTTTACATTGAAAACGTCCCTACACAAAATTTTCAGATAATTTTATCAGTCTTTTTATAACAGTACTAAATGAAGGTTTTGGCACCGTTTTTTTTTATGAACTCATTGTTTCGTGTCATTGCCTATGATGATACCTAACATGAGGTTAAACCCAATTATTATCCTACCTGCATACTAATCGATTTTTTTTTTGTTTTTCAGTGAGTAAAAAAAGCACCTATAGCTCTACTCTTTGTGCGAAATAAATTACGCAAAAATCATTTGTTAGTCAATTCAAGTTCCCCTCGGACCCAGCATGGGCTAAATGGAATTTTAAATTAAATTGTTTCTACTGAAAATCTACTTTTGAGTTAAATAATTAACATAGGACGATGTTTATTTCAATCAACACTCTAGTCAATTCAATTTGTGATAACTTCTCATAAGATAGGTAAATTAATTTCGTTTGAGACGACAAGGTTGAAAATTAGAGGCATGAGCTTAAAGAGAGAATATTTTTTAAGATAATTGTATTAGTATATGCCAAATAAAGAATAAAGGGTCGGTTAAGACCTATACCAAAAGGAAAAAAAATATGATTTTCTAAACAGGCCCAAGATTTCTGTCACATACCCGAAAGCCATGACAATATCATTACATTACACGTGAACAAAGCAACAATGTCAACCCTCGAAGTAGTACAGAATTAAGAAAATTACCAAGCCCAAAAGTTAATTAGATAGAATTAAAGGTGCAATAAATACCATGAAACATAAATCGTCGTGATAAGTGATGGGTGAAAATCCACCTACGTAGAACGTTTAATCCAATGCAATGCATGCCAGAAAAATGTTTGATTTAGGACGGATTCTTATCTAACTACATCTTAGACTGATGTTGGACTACACTTCAGACTGATTGATTGGTTCCTGTCTTTTATAGATCGTTTACTTACAATGTTGACCGAATTATATTTTTTCTTCTTCGAACTTTCCGAAAAAATCTCTATGCAGCTGACTTTATTCAGCATAATCGCCACCACTCATCGCCCATCGCCTTTCCAATAAATGTGCGTTGCAGTTAGCATTGAAATAGATTACACCATTCATCGTCAACTAATGTCACAGTTTCTAAAATACTGTCAACTACTTAAGTAAATACCACTCTGTATATCAATTTTACTAAAGTGTGTCGACGAGTCACCATTTATTTGGTATATAAATACAGTGCCGAAATCCATTACCAGCAGACTAAGGCTAGTGCAAACTACCTCTAATGGGAAAAGCCCCTCTAGCTAAGTCTCCTCCCAGTGCAAACTACCTTTAATGGGAAACGCCCTTCTGGACCTGTCTCAAACCTAGCTTCTTCTGGGAGCATCGAACGCAGCAGACTAGGTCCAGTGCAAACTACCTTTAATGGGAAACGCCCTTCTGGACCTGTCTCAAAGCCAACTTCAGTCTTTAGTCACGCCAAGTGTACAGAGGGTACATAATACAGAGTGGCCCATAAGTACCAAGCGAGTTTCTCCCTACCTGAACCCCCCAAGACACGCTCCTGTTGTGACGTCCCAGGACGAAAACGTATAGGGGTTGTGACAATACTTTTACGAAAATGCATCGACAACCTGGCGCCAGGATTCTGAGAAAATTATTTGTTTACGTCGCGCAGCGCATCTTTCTGGGAATCACATTATATTCATTTCGATTTTTTTCCAGCTAGATCCGGAGTGCAATTTCGACTACTTATTTAAATAGAGCGTAGTAATAAGTTGAGTCAGTTTGAATTCGATATTTTTCGTGTATATTTCGATACCTAAGTGATATTAAGTGCATATTGTATAAAGTTGATTAGTTTAATAAAAATTGTAACGGTTTGAGAAGTGGGTTTCAGTGAACCCGGAATCCGTGACAATTTGGGGTCAAAAGTGGGATTTCAAAGTGTGAAGCTGAAGAACATCAAGGATCAAGGAAAGAGAAGAAATAAATCATCAAGCGACATTCTAAAATAATTCGAAACATTTTGGTAACATCTTTCCTCTATAGAACTATAGAAGGTTGAAGAGTTCCTGTGTGAGAACAAGAATATCTTTGAGGGTGAAAATGGCGAAACTGGTGAGACGAACATCATGAAGCATGAAATCAATACTGACAGTGCTCATCCGATCCACCAAACTAGAAGACTTTCCATGACCAAAAAACAAGAAGTGGAGTCAAGTAGACAGTATATGCTTGCAGAGGGAGTTGTTGGAGAATTTTCAAGTCTGTGATAATCTCCAATTGTACTAGTACCAAAAAAAGATCAATCTACCAGATTTTGCGTCGATTACAGAAGCTTAACGATATCATATGTCACTTAAGAAAAACAGCTACCCATTACCCTGAATTGACGATACTCTTATACGACTCAAATTGGGTTTCTACTTTGGATTTAATAAGCGGATACTGGCAGGTGGGCATTGACGAAAAAGACAAAAAGAATACAGCGTTCCCCACTGAAAGTGGTCTTCACCAATTCAAGGTAGCCTTTTGGACTCTGTAATGCGGAACGTCTCCGCAATTTTTGACAGGTTGAAGGAAATCGTATTACGAGGACTTACGTGGAAAGTATGCCTTGTTTATCTGGACGATGTGTTAGTGATGGGAAAAACTTTCGATGAGCACCTACGAAACTTACAAGAAGTATTTACTCGTATCCGTAACGCAAACCTCAGATTAAATGACAAGGAATGTTCACTCTTCCCACAGCGGGTTGATTTTCTTGGCCACGTAGTTTCACCCGAAGGAATTTATACTGACGAGAGAAAAATCCAACAAACAAACATGAACTCAGAAGTTTTGTTATGCTTTGAACATACCATACTACAGATGATTTGTAGAAGTACCTATTTGCTAAGGTAGTAGCGCCGAAGAAAAAGTTATTTTTTATTGGACCACCAACTGTGACGTAGCTTTTGGGACTTGGGAGGCTAAAGGCAGCTGTAAGTTCCAGTCCTATATTAGGCTACCCACGGGTACAAGGAAAATTTATTTTGGACATAGACGCGAGTAATACAGGAATCGGAGCTGTTCTGTCGAAAATACAAGATGAAGAACAAAGGGCGATTGATTACTACAGTAGAAAGCTTACTAAGCCCGAGAGAAATTACTGCGTTGCCTATAAAAAAGGAACTGTTTGTGATTGTCAGAGCAGTTGGCCATTTCCACAAGTACCTCTATAGTCTATGGACAAGAATTTTTCATTAGAACAGACCATGCATCGCTCAGCTGGTTTCTTAACATGAAACAACCAGCGGGACGAATAGCAAGAGGCCTGGAGAAGTTAGAGCAGTACAAATTTCAGATCAAACACAGTTCTGGTAAATTGCATAATAACGCACATACCTTATCCAGGCCACCATGCCCAGCTCAATGCAAGTACTGCCTCAGAAGAAACCACCGTAAAGGAGTTCCTATTAGAAGCCTCTAATTTGAAACGGATCTAGAATGGAGTTCCAAACAGCTCAGAAGTGATCAATTACAAGATAGTGACATCAAGCCATTTTTAAATCTACAGGAATCCGGGAAGATTATTTATAGACTGTGAGATGGGGGCTGTTTAGTGGAGTAATTTTTTTGTCTGGCATTTTGAGGGCTGAATGTGGCTACTAAGCTCATGAGAATATGGGTGATTTTAATGCCGGCCTCCCGTTCGAAAATTTGCAGAAGAAAAAAATCGATTTACATGAAATTTTTTTTTTAAATGATCTCAAATTTTCTAGCTTTTAAATAAAAGATTGACATTGATAAATAATTCACCCATGAAAAATATCAGATGCTTTTCAATAGCTGAAAAAATGGGGATGGGTGTCAACTTCCAAGAGAAAAGAAAAGAACCTTCCGCGTTTACTTTTTGTCTGGCAATCGAGAGAATGAAAGATTTTGTTGTGAAAATAACGCTGAAAAATCGCCAGACGGTAATAACAGTTCGAAATCGAGGTTTTCGGCGAAACATTCTGTGGACATTTCGAACAGAAGGCAGGCATTAAAACCACTTATATTCTCATCAGCTAACTAGTCACATTCATCCCTCAAAATGCCAGACAAGAAAAAATGACTCCACTAAACAGGCCCTATCTCAGGGTCTATTACTCTATCTCTGTAACATGATGTGTTGGCAAGGAAATGGGTCACTCTTATCTTACATATTTCATCATTTTTTGCGATTGGACTTAATTATTTTATAGGTCATGCATATTATAGGTCAGAAATTCCAAAAGAAATATGAAGAAAATCTAATTATTTTCAAATATTAAAGCTCGTTCCTATAACTTTTTAAGTTGGCGACTTGAAGCAGCTCTAAAATCTTGCCATCAGTTTCAATTTAAAATCTTCTCAATAACTCCTACACATATCCACAATTTCAACTTAAACTTGTAAATACTTGTAATTTTCTAGTACAGTACTAATTGGTAGGTACTCGTACTTCTACCATGGAACAAAATTTCAATTAAATTACTTCTTTTAGGTAAAATTCACGCCAGCTGGGAATTAAATAATTTTTTGAATAAAGATAAGTTCAAGTAACTCTCTATACAGCCAATCTTTGACACCATTTTCAACGCAATTGGTACCAGTAAAGTGGGTATGCCGGCCAACCAACAACAACAGCAAAACCAAGTCAAAAGTGAAAAGAGTACCACGTTGAACGGAACAATACACAAATATATTTCAATTAATTGTCTTTATTTTAGTGTTTCGGAAAGTTATTCGTTAATAATTTGATATTAGGAGGTCCCATCCGAAAAATCTGGTTCCAAAAATGATAAATTTCTTGGGCCCCCGTCATCGGTGACTGTTTTATTGTTATTAGCCAAACCGGAATTTAAATGTGATTTTTATTATTTCGCTTTTCTTCGGGGAATCTAAAGACCTGCTTTTGCTGTGATATTATAGCACCTTTTATTTTAAGTGTTGATATTCTTCTTTGTACTTGAAAAAAATGTGTCTAATTTTCAGATTTTTATTATTTTTAGGATGTGTACTACAGGTAATGACTTAATTGAATTGTTAATGTTTGTTTATTGAATATACTATTCGTAGAATTGCATGGGAAAAGCTGCACAAGACTTGAGAGTACCCCCTAAAGTAGAGACAAATCCAATATTATCCAGTTCATATATTCCTGCTGCCATGCAAATTATAGCGCACGATACTGAACTTATGAAGTATGTGATTAAACCCCCAACAGGTAATAATTATTATTGATAAATAATAAATTAACTAGCTTCTCATTAGTTTTGGTAAATTTCATTGAATATTAATCTTTATCCAATGCAGACTTTGAATTCAAAGAGTCATGCATGCTAATGAATAAATTTGATACCTACCTAAGTATATACCTATATAAATAAATTAAAACATTAAGCAGTAGCCATCATACAACCTGATATGTGTGTTTTGTTTGTGTTTCTAGCTACCTATGCTAACAACATTCTTGGCTTGGTGATTTGTTAATAGGTGGCACCAGTATTATAAGATTTTTCATATAGTGTGAGGTTTATCTCCTATTTTTTTTAGCAATTTTTATTATTATTATTTTTTTCTCATTGGCTTTCATTAAAAACTATTTATCTTTGGGGTTTGAAAATTACAAACTTCTAATGAAAATTTAAAGATCTCTGAAGACCTCACTCATAGACCTCTTTTTAAAAAATCCCTTCCTTCTACATCGTTATTTAGGGTACCTACTTAAGATTTTTTCTTTTTTTTCTCTCTCTCTGTTATCTCTCTATTATCTTCTTATTTTTTGTTTCCGAACTTTATTCTATTGCCTCTGCTATTGTTTTCTCTTATAGTTTTCTCTGTGCTACTCCTTCATTCATTTCTGTTTCGGGACGGCTTTCTTTTTTATATATCGTTGTGCAGCGTTGTGCTGTTCTTATACTTCTGATGCTTTTTCATTTTTGATTCTCATAGTGGTTGGAAGCTGAATACTAAAATTAAAGAACAATGAATTGCCGACCTATTTTATTTCTAGCCACTAGAGCCACCATTGCAGAAAAATAATGAAATTGTAATTGATTAACTCGTGGCCAAAAATTGGATTCTAATATAGGTATCTGGTTGATGGAAACAAGAAATATCTATGGATACATTTTAGAAAATTCATCCTAATTTATGTATAAATTTCTTCTAGGTACTACAACCACTTCAACTACAACCATGAGACCAACACCTGCTCACAGTCCAGCTATATTTGCCCCAACCAACTCATTAAGAGCTAACTTTCCTAAAAGTAAAGTAAAATATATCATTAATAATAAAACAATACATTACCAAGAATTTCATTATTTTAGCTAACAAACATGACCAATACGTTGAAATCCAACAGCAGCCAAGTGGAGAAAACTACTTTGATAGATACAATGCTTATCTATCTTTAAATAATCAGCAGGGAAGAGCGTTAGAGACTGATTTATATGGGGCAGTTGATCAATATTTAGGAAAAGGTTTCGGAGATGTTCTTAAATTAGCAAATAGGATTGATGAAGATCTAGAAACGGAGGATGACCTTTCAGAATTTTCCAAAAATTTCGAAGACTCGGATTCTGGCTATCGATTGGATTTGTTAAGAGAAAAACGAGTACCTCCGACTAAAGCCTACGTGACTTTGTTGACTTTATATGATATGCTCAATAAGGAATCTAAAAGGCTGATGTTGAATAAATATGCTGTAAGTAATATCATTGGTAATAAATAATATGTACATAGAATAAATGACATATTGCCAGTGAGTTGTTGAAAAACTCTTAATATAACTGAAAAAATAATATTTTTTAGGGTTACACAGATACAGTTTTAACTGATTTGGTTAAATTTTCTCAATCCACATCGAGCCACCAGCTTAGAGCGATTCTGAACCGAGTGAAAGAGAATGGAGACACGCCAAAAACTGATATTTTAGTGAAAATAGAAGAGTTAATTAAGGATTTGGACCAAGAAGGCAGTTACATAAATAAAGCGCTTAGTGATATTCCACCATTGGCTTTTGCTTATTAGCATAGAATAATCACTTTTCATGTTTTTTCAAATATTTTTTTTATATAAAATAATATTTTCTATTTTTTTTTGTGATTTTTTTAAAAGAGGTGTCAATGGAATGATGCATATCTACGCTTTGCCTTAAATTATATTTATTAATCAATTATCGATACAATATCGCACACATATATTAATTAAATTAACTCGTCTTCGTGGCACTAGCCAATTAACATTAACTTGTATGCTAAATACTGACGTCAATTAATCCCACTATAGAAACTGAATAATATTCTTCTTCCTATTTTGAACCGCAAATCCTAATATGGTGTGACTATATGTGATTACCTATAACCTATGTATTTTCTCGAATCCATCAATTTTACTTTTTTGAGCTCAAATTTGAAATATCTTATTTCTTATTCAACACTGTCAATATCTTATTTTATCTTAGGGGACTCATTAGAAAACATTTTCAAGGGAGGATTAAAGGAAAGTTTGATTTTATATTAGAAGGTCTAAATCCGTTATGAAAGTTTCGTACAAAGTACCAGCACAGTGTCTAAACTGCTAAAAAAGTTACTTTTTCAAAAACTCTCACCATTAGTATCTGAAATGTTAATAAGTATAATGGTATAAGTCTATAAAGCAAAGAAATTAAACATTTTATCCACACCAAGAATAGCTGCTACCAACAATATGAGAGCGCAATAGGGTATAGGTACTTGCACAAAATTTTTATTCGAGATTCTCCTCCATATCTCCGTGGGAAAAAGAGTATCTAGATCTTGGAGCTTTTTTCGGACTTATATTTTGTTTGATCTCTCCTGATATCTTTCTTGGTGAAGTAGGCTTAATGTGTCCTTTTCTTCTTGATAAAGTTCATTCCAGGAAGATTTTCATCTTGTACAAATTTCTTTTCTATAGGTACTATGTCTCGCATAAAGTTGTACTTTTTCTTCGTTACTCTTTGCCCATTGCTGATTTGTCTTTCTTATGGGTGGAATTTGGGTAGGTAACTCTTCTTTTCAGGCCTTTGATCGCTATCCAAATGGAATAATCAGGTTTTTTGTCTGCGAGTTCACTATAAGGTAAATTGTTAATAGCGTCACATTGTTGAAAATTTTATTGTTTTGTCATGAGGATATCAACTTTGCTGCCATTTTCTTCTGTTCCATTTTTTCTACAATAAAATCTCTTTTGTACATAGTATGTCATAGTACTAAGTCAAGTTACAACAATGATAAACACCCAATGGTTGGCTCGGGGTTGGACTGGTTGGAGAGACTTTGCGAGTGATAATGTACGGTTCATCTCTCTTGGGGTCAAATTTGGAGGTAGTATGCTTCTCGTGACTGCTTTTAGCAGTTTTACAAGCACGCTCTCTCCAATATAAAATGTTGACGTAGCATTTCTTGTTGCATCAGAATATTTTTTTCTGATGTCTTGAGCTTTTTCGTGATTGGATCTTGCATCAATAAGAATGGTATACATCTGCTGTAAGTATGGTGTTATCTCCGGTATAAAATTGTCAGTATTGGCTAGTGTTCGAAGATCGTTAGATATATCTCATCAGGATTTCTCAATTCTCGTATGAAGTTGAGATAAGAGGCGGTATAGCCAGTGGTTTGACTCTTAGCAGTATTTATAGCATAGCGAATGCCTGTTAACTTCTCAGCCCATCTTGTGTGATTCTCCTCCCAACAAGGAGACCTAGTCGTGGTTTTAGATCACGGTTTTTCCTTTCTACCATATTAGCTTTAGGATGGAAAAGCGGGGTCAAGTTTTGTAGGATATTCAAGTAATGACAGACTCGCTGCATAATTCGTGAGACGAATTGTACGCCATTATATGATATTATTCTACGTAGAAATCCGTATCATAAGAAGACTTCGTTTATAATTGTTTTTGAACACTCTTCTGCGGTAGCTTTTAACCCGTGGAAATAATTCTACCCATTTTGTAGCAGTATCTTCAATAATAAAAACCCATTGCTGGCCTTTCGCATCCTCTGGCAAAAGGCCAAATGAATCAATTGTCAAAACCTCAAATCTTTGATTGCAAGCCGGGGTTTGAACCAAACCAGCTGGTTGTTCTGTTCTGGACAGTTTTTGACATAATCTTGAATAAACTGTTGTAAGCTTGTTTTTCCTCAGATTCACATTTCCATGTCGAAGTTTCCTTCAGAAGATTGCTTAAGGGCCTGGAAATATCCGCCAACTTGTCAATAAATCGTCTGTACCAAGAGCAACTTTGTAAGAAAGACTGTACCTGCTTGACATTTTGTGGAGTCAACATCCTGTCTATGGCGGCAGTCTTCTCTGGATCAACTTGGCATACCGCTACTGGCAGTCATATGTCCTAGCGTATCTAAGTTGCTGGCTGGCAAAGGTGCATTTCTCGCGTAACTTCAATAGTCTTAACCGATCGAAAATAAACTTCAGGTCCAGTAAATATTTTTCAAATATCTCTGAAAGCACAAAAATATCGTCCAGGTATGCCAATTAAGAATGCCAGGAAGTCCACTATGGAATCGATCGATCAGTCTTTGGAACGTAGCAGGCGCGTTCCGCAACCCGAATGGCATAACCAAATATCGGAAAACCCCGAATGGAGTGAGGAATGATGTTTTATCGCGATCTATTTCACGCACTTTCACTTGATGGTACCTTGAACGAAGATCCAGGCTTGACATGTGAAAGGTCTTTTTAGTAGCATGAAGTAGGTCATCCATCCGTGGTAAGGGGTAATACACAGAGGTGCTTATTTGGTTCAAAGCCCGGTAATCTACGCATAGTCGCGTACTACCATCTTTTTTAGGTACCAGTACAACTAGGGCAGACCAGGCAGACTCCTATGACACCATGTCAATGTGTCCCTTATTGGCTGAATCTAGTTTTCCATTTTTTTAATTAATATGACACGGTAATTTTCAACTTATTTTTGACCTTTTTTTCCTTTACAAAATGCATGATCTGGCAGCCTATGATATCCAACCCTGTTAATGTATGACCTTATGTATTGCCCCTGATGATGAGAAACATGTAGGGCCGTTTTTTAAAACGAATAAAGTCTTTGAGCTTTTCTTTTGAATTAAATTTCAGCTTCGGTGACTACTTCTTCAATTACTTCTAGTTCCAAGTATCGTTCCGCCACTGTTATTCACTCTTTAATTTTCTATTGAAGTAATTCCATTACTAAATAAATCATTTAAGTGGAAAAATCGAAAATTAATTGGCTTTATTTTTTACCATGACAAATTTCCTTCTGCGTCATTTTTTATTTGAAATAATTACATGTTATTCTATAATATTTTTTTAATCGTCTACTAGATTAGATACTTACCTGCTCAGTCAATTAGTTTCTTTAAAACTTTGAACCTTAACGATTAATAAATTAACAAAAGAAACGGTGTGGGGGAACTTGCACATTTTGTTTTGACGGTATTGAAAATCAATTTCACGATTGCAACATATTAATAACAATTTCCCAATACTTATAATAATATTTTTATGGTTTATTTATTTGACAAATATTTACATCATGTACAAATTTGATTTCTTAAAACTAAGCACAGCCTTTTAATACAACAATTTTACACTATTAATGAATATTTTTAAGCTACGAAATCAATAAATTTCAATTTAATATTATAACTGAAACGCAGTATTGTAAACATTTCCAGGTAATTTGCTTAACTTATTTCTAATAACACCTTGTTTTCGTTTAGACTAGAACCAGTAGTTAAGTATGTATTTGCCTTCAAAATAAATGCGTTTGTCTAATTAGAATTTCCAACCTTAATTATTAAGTGCATCAGATCTAAAATAATCATCACTTTTAAGAACATTTTCAATGATTCACACTTGTGCAAGAAAATTACTTTCAGATCTTTGTAGAGGAAAATATGACATCATCCTCTAGACAAACAAATCTAAATTTGTTTTTCACACTAATATGTTAATATTGATATTTCATTTTCAAGCTTAAAAATATTCAAACTAATTTGCTTATTAATCAGTCAACGATTTAAAAAAGTTCCTTATCGCCCTCACGCAGGCTTTGAAGTTTCACTTCTACCAGTATTGTATATTCCAAACAAGTTAAACAATGGACTTTGCGTTTGTTGTCTCAATTCGCTTGTTTCTTGTCCAACTGCTTCACTAATTGTTTTAATTGGTACACTGGTAATTTGCACTTTCCTCAATTGCTCCAGAGCTTCTTCGTATGTGGGCAATCCAGAAGCTATTGTGTAGCTGGGCAAATCCGTTTCGAACGTCCCTGCTTCCAGATTGGATTGATTGCGAGTAGCGTCCAAAACTGAAAGAAAAATAACTTTGTTAAATGTTTTAGTTATAATATTTAAGTTAATTAAATACTGTGGATTAAAGGAGGAAATTGTTTTATTCGAAGTCAAAAAGTGTAGGTACTTTTAACAGTACTTTTCAAAGGTTAAGTACCCTAATTTGAAAGCAATTTTGTTGAAATATAAACGGTACCACTAATTTGGACACCTTTGAGTGAACACAAAGAATAGTTTTAAAACGGTTTTAATCTATAACGGAAGCATTGGCACGACAGGAGGCGGAAAGATAAATGAATAATAGGTACTTAATTATTATTAGCAGTAGAAGATTAACCTTATTATGGTATTTTATTGTATTGTTGATAAAGGTTTATAAGATTATTTGCATATGAACTTTTTTAAATTTCCATCATTATCTACGAAAAAACAAATCTGAGAAATTCAGTCTTTGGACTCTTTAAGGTCCCTTGTTTTAACAGGTCTCCTGACCTAGTAATAATTGCGAGACTTATAAATTTTGTTTTTTTTTTGTTTTAAAAATATATGGGGATTATGATTATGGAGAGATTTTTTTTGGGTTCTAAATTATATCTATTTTGATTCAAATAGGTACTTTAAGTTCTGCCATTATTCTGGGTTTGGTCAAAAATTTAAACTTCTAAATTTTCAATATGAATTCAAAAATATGAAGGGTTGTCGACGTTGTCGTTATTTATGGAAACGGCTTTATATTTCAGAACGCGCTTAAGGAAAATGTAGATACAAGATTTCCTATCGGGGTTTTTGGGAATGCCCGATTCAATGCTGGTATTTACAATGTTACCAAGTTTTCTTTTTCTAAGATGCCGTATGTAAGTTAAGCCCCTCTCTATTTTTATTGTAGTTAAAATTCAGCATCCCAACATTACTTGAAACCCCTGAATGCTAAACCTCCATTTGAGTTAGTTTTTCAAATATGGCAACACAGCTTTTTTGTTCAAATGTATGAAAACGGTCTCGTATTTCAGAAAAACCTGTTATAAAAAACAGGAAAACTGGGACTCCCTCTGTATAATTATCTAAATTTGCTTTTTCTTTGAGTATTGAATAATATGCGCAATATACATCCACTTTCTATATATTGATTACTCAATTATTTCCAATCAATGAAAATATCGAATGTCATTACTCAACTATCCTAGAGCCAACCGTGGACAGAAGTAGAGAAAAACCATCCACAAGATGTACTGATGATATAAAGCGCATCCGAAACAATTGGATTCACATAGCAATGGAAATGAGTGGAGGACGTTACGGGAGGCATATTATGTTCTGCAGTGGACACTTCTGGACTGATTGATATTGATGATGAATATTGTATAAATCAGTATTAATACTTTTTGGCTTATGATTGAATTAAGTAAGGACATAACGAAAATAACATCTGAGAATCACCAATTACCAGAAAGTATTTGAGACAGCAGGTTCTATTTACTTGTGGTAAGTATAGTTCTCGCAAACAAAGTATGCATTCATTTCGTTTATATATGGAGTTTTGGAGTTGAGTTGAGTGTATAGGTACCAGGTACCTATATGAGTAAGTCTTTCATAGATACTTACATAAAAAGCCAGGAGTCAAGGATGTTTTTTTAATTTTATTTATAATAAATAATGTTGGTCTTTCAAAGTAATTTTGTTTGTTGCCTTTTAGGGCTTGATGAAGTTATACACCGTGATTTACGTAGCCCGTGCATTAGAAGTTTTCTACATTGCAGGTGAATCAGTAGAGAGCATCTAATCCACCTGCACGGGCTGCGTAAATCACCCTGTATAAATATACGAAACGTCGCCATAAAATGAATGGTCTTTGTCTCCTTTTCAGAACCCAAGAACCCAAAACTATATAAAACTGCTGACACCCAGAAATTAAAATACATACACCTATATCGGTGCAGTCGTGATTTGATATTTTCCTAAAAACCATACATTATCATTTTTAAGGGCTTCGGGTATGAAGAAAGCCAAAGTTCATGACATTACTTATTATAAAGTTTGTTTCACGAGGGTGTGTACCTAAGTCATCATTTGTTTGCCTTCTTTTTTTTTTTAACAAATTAAAATTGACTGAAACAAATTAATTACGTCAAAAACAGACTTCGGTTCTTAAAACAAGTCACTCATTTTTGTCAAAAAAATTGATTGTGTCAAAAGACGCATATACATTACTATTTCGGACAGTGATCCCTAATAACACAGTAACATCGCAGAAACATTCCAGAAACATCCATCAGGGATAATGAAGACGTCCCTGGGAGGTCCCTATTTTCCTGGGGACATCCCTGGGATGTTGCAGGCAACAGCCGTGTCATCATTTGCGATGTCCTATAAACATCTCTCAGGGATGTTTCTAAGATGACGCGGGATGTACCTAATACATCCGGGGCAGGTGTAAGAAACATCCTCTATATGTTTCTAGTATGACTTTAATAGGTGAATGAATTTTAGGATTATGGATTAAAAATTACCTAATTCAATAATTTTCAATTTTCGTTCTATTTTCTGGAAGTCAGAACTTTTTCCAAAAAAAAAACAAAAATTGAAAATTATAAAATTAAGTAGGCACATCAGTTTCCAATAACATTTTTTATTGAAAAAATAAGGTACATGTATACTTATATTGATTATCTATCAACTAATAATAATCGACGGACAATTTTGCCTAAATAATGTAGTATTTATGCCCCGTCATGTCATCGAAAACCATAGTTTGGCAGTGGCAGCATGTTGTAGTAGGGGAGTTCGGCGTTTTCTTTTTTTGTTGGTGCTCCAATTTCATAAAGGTACCATTATCTAACCAAAACAACCACAGAACCAAAATCCAAAGTTCTTGAAGTACAATTCAACTTGCACACCTAGAATGTAATCAACTATGAAAACAAAAAATAATTATTGGTTATTTTCTCTTACCTAATGAAGAATGAAGTTCGGGTTTCTAGGGGCTATTTATCAGAAAAGTTAGAAATTTCCTAACCGACGCCATATTGAAATTAAATAAACTAAACAATTGATAGTTATGCGACGTTATCTTTCAACAAATAATCTTTCTCACCAACTAATAAGCACTGGTAGGGCGCAGAGATCCTTTCGAACACAAAATGGCACAACTAGGTGTAGCGAAAAACCACAAATTGACAAATCCTCAACACAGCACGACGCCATTACGAAATAAAATTCCGCCCAACAACACAAGCGTAGCGCACAGGACGACCCGTTCGACTGATTCTGCCCGTCTGCGCTGGCTGCGGCGCCGACCCGACGTGGTGGCGTGCCCTCCTGTCCTGACCGGTACAAGTACAAATGCCTGAGCACGCGCCTGCGCCATACACTTCGGCTTCACGAATATTCACGATGTTTGAAAGTTGAAAAGAGAGAAGACTTTTATCAATACATATTTTATTTTATTCCAAGTTGTAAGTCGAATGAAAAATTAAATATTGCTGTTGTTACAATACAAAATTAATATTAAGTTCCTTATTATCTATATACATTACAGGTATATTATGGAATTTGAAATTAGTTTGTGTGTGTGATAGAGACATTTTCAGAAATCACACAAAATTGGCAAATTTAATACTGGGTCCTACCGGTCTGAGGTCCTACCTAGTTTTGTAAAATAATGTTAGCCATTTTTTAGCTGTAATAAGTATCTAATTTTGAGAACAAAAAATCTTTTTGTCGATAGATATTTTCGAAAGGATGTTTCTAAAACATTTCAGGACAATCATCCTAGAGATGTTACATTACAAACATCGCAGCGATGTACCATTTATGTCGGAAACATAAGGACCTTAATGGTACATAAATAGGATGTTTCTGGGAGATCGGTGTTATTAGGGATTATACGCAGTTAATTAATTTATGTGTATATTTTTGAATAACTGAAATTAACTCTGCTTTAAGTTGAAAATTTTGTTACAAAATAAATAATTCAGAATGTGCTCTAGAGTGTTTTGGAATATAGGTTAGGGGAAACTGTTGTATAGTGGGACAAGTTCCTTAGGGCCGGTTTATCAATATAGAGGGTTACCCAATGAGTTAGGGATAACGCTGGGTCAAAGTTGTGACAAGTGTTTATCTATCCAGGGTCAACTCAAAAGTTATTCCAGGAAAAAGTTAACCCGCGCTCTCACGGAAAGTTAGCGTATTTGACCCTGGGTTAACCTCAACATTTTCTGTCATTTTTTGTCTGAATTTTTTTGAATGTTGGGGTTTTGGCTTAAATTTTGAAATTCTGAAGAGATGAAGGACCTAGAATTCAGTGATGATGATCGAGATGTTCTAGAATTTCTAGAACATGAGCGATGCCCCTACCACGTAAGGTTGAAATCAAATCCCTTTGACGATTTTGATGACGTCGGCGTGTTTTCTCTTACGAAAAGAAACAATCTTATTTGTTCTAGAAAAAAAATCAAAAATCCAGCATAGACTCGAATTCCCAACAGAAAGATACCACGTAAGTAACTATGCTTGTGGTTTTTTCTCTCAGACATTTTCTTCTTTTTAAAACAAAGCAACATATTTCCACACAGAATAGGGTAAGTACACGATACCGAAATTTTCGTTACGGAGACAAAAAATACCATAAAAGGTAAGGTTATGAGCAGAAAATGTCAAAAAATCGACAAAAGTGAGCTGGCAACGTTGCATAAGTAATGCCAACCTTCAAAGAACCCGAGAGTTTGCCAGCCCTGGGTTGAAAAAGCTTGGATAAACACTTTTCGAATTGAGTAGATAGTTACCCCAGAGTTAGAGTTAACCCAGGGCCAGCAAACTCTGCGAGTTATCCCTTGATTGATAAACCGGCCCTTAGTGGGACAATTCAAATTGTCCGCCACCGGTATCGCTTAAAATACCGAAAAAAATTGTGTCAACTGCTTCATATATGAGCATTAGATATAACCTTGGCATTGGCCGTTAGAGTCTTCAATATGGCGGGATTTTCGTTAGTGTAAGCATAGAAGTGACAAGGTTTTTT